CGGATGTATGATACGAATTCAGGCCATCCCATCACACGACGTCGATCAAAGGGCGTGAATAGAAGTGAAAGAAGCGCCGGTCAAATCATGAAAGTTGCCGTTCGGCGAGATCTGCGACCAAGTGACCGTGGTGAGATTGAGTGGGAGTGGTGAGCCCAATGCGGAATGATGTGGATGATGGATCCATGGAACGACTCTATTGTTTCTGGAAGCCTTCCCATGCAAGGGGAGGCAAGAAGATTTGGGTCATTTTTTGTAAGTGACAAAAAGGCTTAGTCAAAAGTCAGAATAATCTAGGGGGCTCTTAGGCTACTCTATTTTGACACCCTAACTTATTGCCGGAAGTTTTCTTGCTCCCTGGAGAAAATACGTGGATTGATGCCTTAGGCACAGGGTTTGTCAGTGGTTTGTTCTGGAAAAACATGGGCCAAGGGGTCTTCCTTGTCTGACAAGTCAAGTCTGACGGAGTGCATCACATCTAATTTCTGTAACACGGCGTCAAAATTGGAAGTTGAAAAAGCTCAAGCGAACCAGGGTCGAGATGTCCCTGCGTAGGAATAATCACGAAATAGCCTCAATTGACAGCAAGCCTCTTATTGAACAGACTCTGTAAATGACATGCCCAAATCTCACCACACCCAGAAACTCACTACACACAAAAACGACCCTGTTCCCTCAAGTGGGGGGCAGCCATCTCAGTGTAAGACGCGGGCGTTAGGTTCGAATGCTCTCCACCAGGGCGAGTTTGGCCAGTGACCTCCGATGCTTTCCAATTGGCTATGCTGATTTAGTGGATTGCAGGGGGTGGGCAAGGGTACATCTGCTTGGAAAGGGAGTCTCTGTGAGTCTGAAGGGATGGGGTTCTAGCTGAGTATGAGACCCTAAGCTGAGATTCACCTGAGCAAGATGGACTATCGACTTCTCTCGAGCTGGACCTTTTTTCGTGTACGGACTCATATACTATGCTCGAAGGAGGAGGAGGTTAACAGAATGACCTGCTTCGAACAAGGCGGGCCTTGTGGGCTCTCTAAAAGCATGGGTGACTTGGTGTTCCATTCATCTCAGTGGTCTGCATCCAATGCTCAACTCTTACTGGTTCGGGGAGACTCGAGTGGGTGTGCAGTGGACTTTCCATCTTGCTTCTTCCTCGGCTTCCACAGTGGGCAGTGGCTTGGCCGGAGATTCCATTATGGAAGGCGTGCGCAGATGCGTCTCCACCATTGCACCTGCCTCAAAACCACCACCCATCCATCCTACCATCACCCAGGGCATCCCCCATCCGCTACAAGGAAGGTACTGTACCTTGACAAGCACGGTCTCGCACGCTATATCCGGCCGTAGTTACCTTAGTATTCTCTATCAATCCCAACTGTCTGGAATCCTCTCACCTCCCCATTTCATCTATTATCGTTGTTGTTGTTGGTGAGAACGTAATACATACTTTGTTCATTTCTATTACCTCTTCTTCTCTGTACATTGCTAGGGCCTTGCCTTCCCTTATCTTTACCGGCATCATCAACCATCGCATCCCCTCGACACTTACGAACCCGCATACTCCGACGGTCAACTACGCCGAAACCCCGATCCATGGTATTCGATGTCGAACTTGAACTGTAGAACAACTCTCTCTTGCCCTCGATAAATCATCGTCGATTAATTTGGGGGTATTGGATTAGAAGGAAGTTAGATTTTGGTCTTGATACTGGAACACCGTCTTGAACGACCATCACCTTTGAACTGAGGTGAAGAACAACCACGAACCATAATTTGAAGAAACGACGATATTGTTGGATCGATCTGACTGGGCTGAAAACAATTCAAAGAGTTGGATTAATTGCTGCGAAATTCACAAAGATTCAGAGTCTTGATTCTATGCATTCCTGATCTCTCGACGGAGCAGCACCCGAAGAGGTGGAGATCGGTATCGCGAAACTCATCCCGAAGCATCCCCATACAGAACAACCCATGTCGTCGATTACGGATATCATCGCTCCCGATATTTACTCGCCTTAAACTTCAAAATGCCTGACTACGACGGAGACATGCTGCCTCCCCCGGCATCAGGCCCCCAGCAGGATCGCACTTGGGGTGGTAATAACGCTTTTCACAACTTCTTCAACGACTTCTCTCACATCCCCGACCCAAATCTTCGCCGCCGTCTTGCTTTATCTGAGATCGATAAAGTCCCTTTTGGTGCATACCGTATGTGATATACCTTGTTCTCAGGTTATTATTAAAGCCAATGCTGACCAAATTAGATGTCCGCGCTGTATTAGTAGCAGGTGTTGGTTTCTTCCTTGACTCTTATGATATTTTTGCCATCAACCTCATCACAATACTGCTTGGAGTTGTCTTTTGGGGAGATCCTAACCCTCAAAACGGCTTCAGTGGCAATGATGGATATCTCCCTGACCCAGTCAATCAGGCATTCAAGGCCTCTACGAGTGCCGGAATTGTGGTGGGAATGATCGTCTTTGGATGGCTAGCAGAGTTAGTATCACCCGTCTATACCGATCTTTTCATAGACAAGAATGTACTGACAACTCAAATAGTGGCTTTGGTCGACGCCGCATGTATGGTGTCGAATTGGGTATCATTATCCTAGCGACGCTTTGCTGCGCTCTCATCTCGTCTAGCCCTGCAATGGGATCGACAGGTCTCCTAATCTTTTGGCGTGTCATCATGGTAAGCCTACAAAAACTCTACCTTTCGCAGCATTTCCTGACTATATCCAGGGCATTGGAATTGGAGGCGACTACCCGCTCTCAAGTGTCATTACCTCCGAGTAAGTGCCCTCGCTGTCATGTTTCCATTCAGACTTTGTGGCTGGGATTTAGTTCATGCCAGACCCCTAGCACGCCCTGATCAACTCAAGCTGACTGAGATCCCGCTAGGTTCGCTCCGACAAGGTGGCGCGGCGCTATGGTTGCTGCTGTCTTCTCTATGCAGGGACTTGGACAGCTAGCAGCTGCTATTGTTGCCCTAATCACTACTGTTGCTTTCAAGGACGCTTTTATCGGTGCTGCTGACGAGAGCCAATGTGGTTTCGAGTGCCGACTGGCCGCTGACCGAGCATGGCGAATTATTGTTGGAGTGGGCGCCATTCCTGCTTGTGCCGCCCTTTATTACCGTATCACTATCCCGGAGACCCCTCGATATACATTTGATGTTGAGCACGACGTCGAGAAAGCCGATGCCGACATCAAAGCATACGTTACCAGCAAGTCTAAGGGTTCCTTTGACGTTGTTCATCAAGTCAGGAGCAAGCGTGTAGCTGGACGTAGCCTTGACGTCCCGCGTGCGTCCTGGTCTGATCTTATTTCCTTCTTCCGCCAATGGGCCAATTTCAAGATGCTATTAGGCACAACGTTGTCTTGGTTCTTTTTGGTAAGTCCTATTGTTGGATATTTCTTAACTTGCGCTAACTCCTGTGAAGGACCTCGCTTTCTATGGTCTTGGCCTTAATAATACCTTTGTCCTTCAAGCAGTGGGCTATGGTGCTGGCAACTCTCTTTTCGAAAAGCTTCACAACCAAGCTGTTGGAATGATAATTTTGACATGTGCTGGATCACTCCCTGGCTACTGGACTGCCATTCTTAGCGTCGACACCTTTGGTCGCAAGCCGCTGCAGGTTTTCGGATTTCTCCTGCTCACCATTATCTTCTGTATCCTGGGATTTGCTTACAACAGCCTCTCACAGGGGGGGTTGCTTGCGCTCTACATTGTAGGCCAGTTTCTCTTCAATGCTGGCCCTAACACGACCACTTTCATCGTTCCTGGCGAATGTTTCCCTACCCGATATCGATCGACCGGTCATGGCATTTCGGCTGCCATGGGTAAAATAGGAGCAATTATTGCGCAGGGCATCAGCATCCCTATGGTGCGACAAGGATCCCCCGAGGGTTGTAAAGGCACCGATTGTGCACCAAACATGCACAGACTGCTCCAACTCTTTGCCCTTTTCATGCTGTTTGGTACTCTGGTCTCGTTATTGATTCCCGAAACCAAGGGCATGACTCTGGAGGAGCTTTCTGGAGAACCCCGCACAAGCTACAATTCTGGATGCAATGGTAGTATCAGTCTTGGGTCACCAAAGCTCAGGGCTTGGAACCCCTTTATTGGTGGTCAACCCGCAGGATTCTCGTATCCTAGATCCAGGATGAGCCACTTCCGAAAGAGTGATCGTGTTGGGATTATGACCTCACCGGAACTCATGGCTGAGACATCCCGGCTTCGAAGACCTCGCATCTGGAGAAGACACCGCAAGGCCAAGTCGAGCAGTGGTACAGATATCGCTCTGAGTACTCGAAGCTCTGGTACAGGAGAGGATGAGATCTTCCCAGCAGGCCCTCCTGCATCTTCATCTACTCCTCCACAGCCACCGCCCACTTGGGGAGCTGGCTGGGGACGGATAGACAGAGGAGGACCCCCTCCGCTGTTGAACTCGGTCCAGCTGCAGGATGTCGGCAGCCTCTTGACGAAATGATCTGGATTGACAAAATCGGTATTGTTCGCATGATTCGCATATCTCTGGCGTTGGTGGAATAATGAAATTTAGACTATGATACCTTAGATGTTTGTTTTTGCATAGTTGTCGAGTGAAACATCGACATTTGGAGGCTTGGAAGCAGAAGTGCTTCGCAACTTGTACGAATGAATAACGAATACAATGAGTTGCAGACTTTGGCAATGCAACTGAGCACATATGATTGTGAAACATATAAAGCTTACGAGAACTGCTTGTCAATTATCAACGAGTCTACGAGAACACACTTGGAAATGGCAGCCGTTACTTTATGCTAACAATGACAAGGCTGATGATACTCGAATTCGCAGTCTATTGTTACAAACTTCTTACAAAAGGCTTCTTCTGCCAGACCATCTATGAGAACCTCAATACTATCCCAATTCTCTCTTAGTCTAACAACGCAATCTATCGCCCTCTAACCTTTTCAAGACATACTGAAAGACCAAATAACTTTGGCTAGTCTATCAAAAAATCATCCACGGAGAACCTTGAGCGCTTCTTTCAGGTTTGCCACATCACGGGTCAACTTCTCACGGCGATCGCGGCTGAGCATGTCTTCGCCAGCAATAGCCTCAAGTTGCTCAGGTGTCATGTGAAACACAACCTGGTCGGACAGAACGGTGAGAGGACCGTCAGTGTCGTCGAGGAGAAAGAAGTCGATGACTTGTCGGCAGACAACATCGACAAATCGACTGCGGGCGATGTCGTAATAGGTCAGAAGAACATCGTGAATGTCTTGGCAGATGGTGGCTAGGTTAGTAGGCTTGGGTCTGCCCTCGACAGCGTCACGAACATACGTAGCAAGCTCGCTTGCTGACTGGCAATCATCGTAGCCATCCAGTGTGGCGTTCTTGACCAATTCGCCCAAGTCCTCGCCCTTGGATCTATTGTCGGTCAAGTCGCTGCCGAAAGAGGGACTGTAGGTCATGCTTCTCCCTTCGAACTCAACCTTGAGAAGAAACTCGGTATGGTCAACGGCACGCTTGTACCGGGATTGAAGGTCGTCGACCAGGAAGTTCCAGAGCTCCCCGCGAATGTCCGGGTCAGGACAGGCATGCTCGAGAACACTGTTGATGAAATGGTGGACAATGAGAATTGCATTGGCGATGTGAGCTCGAGCCGCGTTTGGCCAGTTCTTGGACTGCTCCTTGAAGTTCTTGGGCAGCATCTCACCACCGAACTAAAGAGCGTGTTAGAATAGGGGGCTACTTGTTCTGATTCGACAAGGTTGGGGACTTACGGTGCCGAGTTCATAAGCGCGAGAAGCAAGCCACTCTCGCTCGATGAATTCCATGATATCTTCAGTATTCTCGTCTTGCCATTCGATAGGGTCATGAAGAACACCATCCTCAAGATCCTCCTCTCCTAGACTGGGAATCTGGAAAGACGTCCCTTGATGGTATAGCCCGCTACGGCCATCGAGCGTCCTGTTGAGGCCTTTCGGCATACCTACCCTACGATTGAGCAAGTCACGAGGTTCACTGAAAACTGCTTTGGTTCCTCGTTTGGTCTTATGTTCAGGCCGGTGAAATTTGCGCGTCTCTCCCCATTTGTAGAGTGTCTTTGCAAACTCCTCATTGGTCTCACGGATACGGGTGATGAGCTTCAGATTGGTGCCGTTGTCGAAGAGTGCCTCGCGACTGTACTGGCCGTCGAGGCCGCAGTTCTTGATGCGAGTGAACTGAGCAGCAATCTGTCCAATGTAGATACGTTGCTGCTCAGTGGTGCTGCGTGACTGGCCCATATCTTTGAGAAGGGCCTCAGTTTCTTTGAGAAGCATCGAAAGATCACCGCGAACCTTGGGGAACTCGCTCTTGGTTCGGTCCATGAGAAGCTGTTGGACACGGACCTTGAGCGCCGGAATACCAAGTCTGTCAGGGGATAGCTTAGTCCAAGGCGCCTTGGAGAAGAACTCTTTCTCAGCGCGAGTTCGCTCCTCAGCACTGGAAGAACTGTCATCTGCACTTCGGTTCTTCACAACACAGTATCCAAGCTGAAGATCACGTCGCTTTCCACGAACGAGGTCAACGACAACAGCCTTCGTAGCCTCTTCAACAGCCAAGTCAGGCTTTGTGAGAACACCGAGAGTTCGCTTGCCCTCGGGGTCGACTTCCTTGGCGTAAGTGAGAATCTTTTGGTTCGCAATGTCGCCGTTGCAAGGAACGACAGCGAGGATTATGGTACGCGACTCTTGGATATACTTTTGCACCATGTTCTTGACGAGCTCAATGTCTTCTTTGGTGGTGACGCCAGGAGTGACGTTCTCAAACATTCCGGGGACATCGATGACAGTCAAGTGATCTTCGTTGGGGCCGCTGATTTCGACGCGGAGAACATCGCGACTAAAAGCAGAGCCAGTAGAGCCAGTAGAGCCATCGCCAGACTCTGACTTGATGCCCATCACCTTGGCGGCCTATCAAGACTATGTTAGAAGATGTGATATGCGTCTAGAGAATAAAGTACTAACATCTTGGAAGATCTGAGCAAACTCCTCGGCGTCGAGGTTAGTCGCAGTGCGATGGAAGGACTTTGCTTGTTCTTCATCTGCATCGACAGCATGGATAGAGACAACAATGCTCTCCGTTTCCTCGCGACGACAGATGATCTCTGTGGCATGGCGAGTGCAGAGAGTTACTGAGCGAGGAAAATGAAAGCCAGTAAGAGATTCGAGGACACTGGACTTGCCAGCACTCTGGTCACCAACGACAACCATCTAAATAAACGTTAGCTGAGATTATCTGGCGCAAGCTGACATGAAAGACATACCTGAGGGAGAGGCACCATGTTGGAGATGCCTAGCTCTCGTAGCTTGTCCATCTTGTCCAGAAGGGCTCGATTACCAAGCCCTTGCTCGGACTTGACTGTCTTTGCGGTAGTCATCTTGACAAGACCAAGTTCTTTGCAAGAGTGTATAGAGTATGTCGTTTGACCTGTTGAGGTTGCGTGGGATGAGGGGGGATGTACGATCACCGTGTGGATTTAGCGATGAAAGAAGAAGAGAAAGAAAAAGAAATGAGCCAGGAGAGAGGGAAGAATTTATACCTTGCCTGAATAACTCTTATTCGAGGCCTATGAATCACTCACAGATAGATATTCAAGGATTCTCGGGTGCTTGCAGTGGCTGCCAGTTGTAAGTGGCCGTCACTTCACTAGAGGCCCTGCACCAGAGCCTAGCTATTTGGACACTTCTATTTAATACAGTTTTAATGTATGGAGGCTATGTTACTTCTGAATTATCTATGCCATTAAATGTAATGGCGCAATCTGCGGCCTTGATACCAGGCATGAGTGAATAAACTGGAGGCGGGATGCTGCATTCACCGAAACACCAACCTAAATTGATGTCTGAAATTGAACCAATTGAGACTCGGATTCTGCCTTGCAGGCGCCTATCAGATTTGATCTGCAAGAAAGTTGTCTTCTTTTATGTGGTGGTCGGCCTCCGACAGCTGCGCCCTGCTACTATCGTGGAGTTTCATCCCCAGAAAACGGGCCCCAAATGCCTCTTTTTGTTGTCTCTTTTCTCAGGCTGTTGGTCGACCCCTGCAAAACTTGAACCAACTGCCATAGCTAGTGGGGCTGGCGTGATATGATCTATAGAGACACATACAAATTCTTCCCTAATAAGGATAACTCCAGGCAGATGAGAGTCCTTGAAATGCGCAGACCCTGGAAAAGTCCGCCCTGGCCACTTATACCGGCCTGTTGGCCACGGCCACCAGAGGTAGCCAGAACAAGAACAGAACACCAAAGACAATTGATTCGAGACTCAATGTAACATTCATTCCATCAATTCATGCTGGGGTATCTCGCTAGCTAAACAAAAACGCCTATCCTTTTTCCGATCCCATGTATATCTGTATATATAACCAATCACCACAAAGACACAATTTCCGTAACAGGCATACCGCAAGAAGCGAGATCCTGCCTTCTCATATACCAAGCCTCAAGCAGAGCCATCTCCACAGCCCCAGGAGCCTCTCTCAAGTTTGATAGCACAGGCCCAACAGACTTTGGTTCCAGGGCAGGGTCCAAGACACCGCGGGGAGAAACACATCGAGAGGGAGGTTGCAAGGCGGACTCGAGAGTATGGACAAAACGCTCGGCGAGCGGGTGGGCTGAAGTTGTGTATTGCTTGGCTGTCGCGAGGCATCGTGTGGCTTCCTCAGTGACAGGGGCGGGATTGGTGATGATATCTCTGAAGAGAGGATGCTGGACCAAGACGGTGAGGGTCATGCCGATTATGCTGAGAACTGACGCGAGTTAGAATAAATGCCATAGTAGAACCATATCTTGACTTACCAATAGCAGAATGACTCTCGGGAGGACCGTCAAAAGTCACCAATCTCCTCTCGCGGGCCATGATATCTTCCAGCTCCACGCTTGCAGCATAGCATGACTCGAATAGTCCTGCGAGCATCGATTTTGCCATGATCGAGGTTGGCTGTGTTGTATTGCTGTTGATGAGCTTCATAATTGCTATTCGGGGGATCAAAGCCTTGGTCTCAAGATATCTGTCATTTGTTAGCTTATGGTGTCTCGATACGTATATAGTTCATCAACATACCTCATGCGCAATAAAGTTGCTTGGCGACGGAAAATAGCCTCGGGTTGCGTGCAGGGGAACTTGACGCGCAGATGCTCAGGGATAGCGGTGTGCCACTCTTCCAAATCGCAGTCCAACTTCAGCGCATCAGATAGTATATCAGAGACTGATTCTTTACCAGAATCGGTTTTGCGGTTGAAAGAGTCTTGAATAGGTTGCAGAATATCATCGTACAGTTTCAAAGTTTGGTTGAAAAAAGATAATCGTGAAGGGGTATCGCAAGGTTGAATTCGGTCGGGGTTGTGAGGAAAAGCCTCAAGATATTCGTCGTCGATTTCCTGGGGAAATGTGCCAAATGTTGGGTTTGTTTGGCTCCCTGGGGAATTCTGCATCCTGACAAGGAGAGCACAGGCACACCATGTCCTTCTCCGTTCCTCGCGTTCAGCCTGTGCCTTTCCTGGCAGATCAAGGTGAAGCATGAGACCTTCTGCGAGTCGAAGAGCCATGCCAGTCAACATCCAACTCTCCTGGACTGCACCCGCACGTCGCAAGAATCGAGCATGAACAACCAAAGCCTGGACAACGGGGAGAGATGACACGGATAGAAGGTCGACGAGGAGAAGATTCTTGGCTTGCTGGTGAAAATCGAAGGCGTGAGATACGTGCGACTCGACAGGCTCTGTGACCGAGGTTTTGGCAAATTGACCAATGGCTAGCATTCCTAATAAAAGGGAGTAGGTGGCTGCGAGTTCGGTGGCTTCCTCGAGGGGGATATCACGGCGGTAGCGAGAGTTTGCAACAGCAATGAGACGATGATATCGTTGATAGAAGGATGGCCGATGAATAACGGGCATGGTGATCCAGTCAATGTTGAAGTACTCTGCCAATAGCTCGTCCATGAGGTCCGCAGGTGGAAGGGTGATCTTCTGAAGCATCAAAGCGGCCTTGACGTTAGAAGAATAGGAGCCGAACGATGAAGGCTTAGCCGGGGCAGCATCTTCAAGATCGTCGGTTAATGGTGGACTAGCGCCCATAAGATGGTGCGGGCGTGAGTAGTAGCTGGCTGGTTCATGGACTACAGATAGTGAACCAGCTCTGGAAGAGAAGCTGGGCAAAGAATAGCCAGAGTCGGTATGAATTGGAGGAAGAGCATGATCAACATGACGTGGAGGTCTTGCTATACGCTCAGACACAACACTGGGCGAGGTAGATAGTTTTCTCCATTCTTCTTGAGCAGGCGTCGTAGCGACGAAGGCATTGTGGCCGTGAGCTACTAATTCCTAGAGGGCGTATGAGTAAAAGTCCTGAGCGAAGGGGGGGATATGAGTAAGGTACTTGTTGTAAAAAGACTTACTAGCTGCTTCTCCTTCTCCTCGAGTTCCTGGACTCGCTTCTGGAGAGCACGGATGTAGCTATCATCAAGTTTTAGTCTCTTATCTGATGATGATGAGATGGTTGTGGCTTTGACTCAAACTCACCTCCGCGACGAAGCGATGGAGCCTTCATGCTCAATCTCAGGGTAAACACACTGTTCAGCACAGAGACCGCGTCTGGAGCAGGAATCGCAGACAGGTCGTGCACCGTCACAGCGAATTTTACGATCGCGACATTGTCGACAAGCCAAAGACCTCGCCTTTCCTGGTCTGGCAGTGGCAGTGGCAGTGGCAGTTGCGTGTTGTCGGCGGGTGGCCGAAGCGGAAGCCGATGACCCGGGAGATGAAGCCTTGGACTTTGTCATTCTGTGTCTGTCTCTGTCCTTTCGGGTCGTCGGTCTCTTCTCCTTTTTGAATTTGGAGGTTGAAGCGACGGGGAGATTGACAGTTGCGGGTCGTCAATCGATGTCCTCTAGCTAGGGAAGAAGGGAACGAGAAAAATCGGTCGTGACTCGTTCACCCCTTGACCATGGATACGCTCTAAGACGGCCGCCGGGGTGGCCATTTTCTCACGGTCACGGTTGTCGGTAGTCGCCGAGTGGTTTGTTTTTTCGGGGTCTAGGCTTCAAGTGGGGATTTCTGATTACGGGTGTCGGGACGTCGGTGTATCGGGGACTTTGCACTTAGTGAATATGATGATATAGGGACTGAGTGTCTGATGCAATACCTAGAGATAGGTACTGAAAATACTCTGACCTTATTCTTTTATAGTCTCCATAACTTATTGCTTTATGCTCCTGCATTCCCCGGACAAAGAAAGGGTCTTGATGACGGTTTCTGAGGAATTATATGGAGACGGACGGATCATCGGCCATCGGTCATCGGCTACATTCATTGGTGTTGATGGTCATCGGATCCATCAAGGGCCTCGACAACTCCCCGACCTCCCCGACATCCAGAACAAGGGTCAACGACATGGGCTAATTACGTACGTACATGAGAATCAGAGAGTTCACTATCACGATGTTCGCTTCGACAGCCGTCTCTCACTCACTTGCAAACAAACTTATGGTATTTACTCAAGATAGACTTGATCAGATAAAGTATTCTTGAGTCTCAGAGAACCTAGACCGCAGTACTATAACTTATCTCACTGTTGGTATTGATATCCCAACTCCCCGTGATAACACACGCGATCATTCTTCACTTTCGGTCCGTCGCGCGGCCTCTTCCCTCCGACTTCCGCCACTAATCGATCGATTCCACCCACGCCAAGGGTCGAGACTTGCACGAGCTCCCCGTGACCCAGTGACGCCACTGAAATTCTCATCCTCTTCATTCCCGTCTTTTGTCCGGCGTATTGAGAGCATGTCACCGAGATCCCGTCATAGGCGAGCCCATCAACACCACAACGACGAACTGATATCATACTCCAGGACAGTGGCTGCCAAGGTGCAATCATGTGCCTCAAGTTATCATTATCAAATTTCTCCCAGGTTTGTAAGCAAGGTCCATAGACGAGTAGAGCTGTGGTTATTAGCTTAAATCGAGGAATAGCATCACTGTCAGAGACTCACTTGGGTTCTAGCCTCTAGTCCTCTAGATTCACCCACAGCAGGATATACATGCAAGGCCAGCAACATGTCTGAAAAGCCAAACCCTGTGCTCTGAAGATGAAATCCCTAGCGACTTTTTCAAATTCATACATCATCTCTACTAAATATAGGATATTTCTCCCTGGACGTGGTTAGCAGACATTTCAAAGATATACTCCTGGCACAGGACGAAAACTAGAATATGAAACGAAGAAAAGAAAGAAAACAAGATTGACTCAAGGACGCTGTAGTTCCTCACAATCTCGCCATAAGATTCATCACCCTTCACAACCAACCGCAGCGAATATGCAAGTCAGTACAATCCACTAACAGAATTCTCCCAAAGACCAAAGGCAAACTCCGTGG